CTTTAGGTCTCTCCGCAGCCCCACCCAGCCCAACACCCTTGGGAGTTGGGGTGGGGGTGGGCATTTACCTGGGAACCTGATCCCGCGGCCAGCTGCTTCCACTCTGGGGCCAGCTTCCTGAGCTGGCAGTGACGTCAGAGCACGTTGCCTGGGCAACTTTCTGGGTGGACTGGGGCGTGAACAGGTGGGGAGAATGCATGGGGCACCCAAGCCAGGTGCAGGGCGAGGGACCTAGACAACCAAAACCCTGGGAAGAAAGAGGGCAGAAAGGGGGAGAAGCTGGCAGGGGGCCACACCACAGCCTTTTCAAACTTTGGGATTTTTTCCATTGCGGTTACCATGACTTAACACCAACTATGGGCCGGGCTGTGCTCAGTGCTATTTATATCACATATTTCTATCTCCTTTCACCCTCACAGCAACCCTGTGAGGTCTGTTTGATTATTTCCCACATCTTACAGCGCAGGAAGGCCACGTGACTTGTACAAGGTCGCACACAATGACAGAACCGGATCCCAAACACCAGTGCCCCTGACCTTGATTTATTGCAAGCAGTGCCAGCCACTAATTGACTGGGTGTGACCTTAAGGGCAAGTTTCTTCTCCTCTCTGGACCTGTTTCATCTGCTGGAAAATGGAGGGTGGGGGCTCATAACCCAACCTACTAATCAGACTCTGGAGCTGGCATCCCCTCCGCCCGCACCTCAGCAGTTTCCAAAGGTCCCCATGTGATTCTAGTATCCAGTTGGGGGTTTAGAAGATCTCAAAGGCCCACCATCTCCGAAGCCTGTGAGTCCATGATGTACTAATGGTGGGATTTCAGGCAGCAGCAGGCTCGAAGGTAGCTATGTAGGTGGAGGGGTGTCTTATAGGTGTCTCTTACACCTCTCCAGGCAGGTGATGCCCCCCAGAGATCTTGGGCCTCACTTTTGTCCCACACCACACACAGTGCCCGCGACCCCGAACCACCCCCCACATGCCCACCTCCCTGAGGTCTGGCCCTCATGCCCACTGCCTTTCCCAACCCCCAGCCTCCATCCAGCCTCCACTTGCTCTTGGTTGTGTCCAACAACTCTGCATTATGTGAATGGAGACAGTGTCAAAATGGATTTGCGACAGTCCACAGAGCCACCCGGCAGGCAGGCCACTGAATGCTGGTTCCAGCCAGGGGTCCAAGAGGCCCTGAGGAGGCAGGGGGACACCTCTTTCCTCATTGCCCCTGTTTGCTCCCTACACACCAGCCTTGCTGAAACACCTACACATCCTCCCATGTGTCTCGGACTTCCAGGCTCATGCTGTCCCTCTCCACCTAGAATATCTTCCCTCCAGGTAGCTGACTCTTGCTCCTCCAGATTTCAGCAAGGGCGCCACCTCCTCTGGGAAGTCTTCCCTGACTGCCACCCTCCAGACTAGAGTGCTTTCCCCTTTAAAGATGTACCCAGTCTGTGTTATAATGGCCAACTTATTTGTCAGTCTGCCCTACCAACCTATGAGCTCTAAGGGGGCAGGGGCTGCACTCAAATTGTGTTACCCCTAGCAGAGGCCTGGCATACAGTTGTCACTAAATAAAGTCTGTTGAATTAATCTCTGAATGAATGAATGTGTCCATCTAGTTTTTGTTTTG